CACAAACACACACACACACACACACACACACACAAACAAACACACACACACACATCATTTTTTACTAATGCAGGGCAAAAGTTCTCATTTTTGTTTTGTTTAATTTAGTTTAGTAAACTAAAACTAAAATAAAAATGATAAAAATGTATAAAAACTATATACTAAAAAATACAAATGACTTTATTGAAAAATAAAAATGAATCAAAGTTATAAAATACGTAAAAAGCTTAAAATTAAGAAACATTACAAAGACAAATTAATAAAAATGAAGCTAAAATTAAAATAAAATAGCTACTTCAAAATATTAGTAAAACTATAATAGTATATCAGTCTTACTAAAATAGCACTGCCGTGTAATGCCAACTGGAAAATAAATTAATATTAGCCTAATAAAGTCATTCCCACCGCACGCCACTGATTGAGCCATATATGACCGCCACATGAAAATGAGCTGCATCCTAATAATGACCCAACTGTAGGCTTACAGATCTTTAGGGGTCCTGCATGTCCTCCGGGAACTGGGGGAGGAGGTGGTTCAGGTGTCACGTGACTGCAACCCATCCGTGCCGACCCTTTGTTGTTGGGATTTTGGGCAAGAAGGAGAATCGCGATATTGCCCCGCCACGAGAGGATAGCAAAGAGAACTGAGGACGCACGATTTCTAAAGGACGGAAAACAGTCGATACACGTCGCCTTTTGCCTCACAACTAGCAACACAGACGCGCGAGAGATGCACACAAAGACAGCGCGAGAGGTGTCCGCGAGCTGTTATTGAGACGCGCGCAAGAGCTCAACAGCGAAACCCAGAAGAGTTGTTTAGCCTCAGGAACTTAATTTTTATTTTGAATTGGTGATGCAACACCGTTTCGAAGTTTGTTTAGCGCACCAAAAAAAATAAAAAATATATATATATGCAATTTCATACATGTACAGTACAGTAGGTCTGTACAGTAGTTGACAATATTGCGAACCTTGAGAAAAGTGCATTTAATTGTCATGTTAGTCTTTGCATTCTATGATTTCTGTATTGATGATGTTCCTGGAATTTGATCCTGGATCTCAGTTAATCAATATTTATGCTTGCATCTCTGCTTTCATTTCTTGTCAGCAAATGATAAATTAGAATGCAATTATTTCGCCCTCCCGTTATAGATAAATATCAATTTGCTTACCTGATTTAGAAGAGTTGTTTAGCCTCAGGAACTTAATTTGTATATTGAATTGGTGATGCAACACCGTTTCGAAGTTTGTTTAGCACACAGAAACAGCTCCGGGCGGATGACGTATGAGTTCAGCGCTGCGCATGCGCCACTCAGAAGTGACAAACGCGGAAGCGCAGGGGAAGTACAACAGTAGTCACTTATTAGAAGTACAAAACGAGGATTTGCAAAGAAGAATGTCGGAGGATTCCGATATATGCCAAGATGAGACTGGTTTTCCTTTGCTAAAGTAAGGAAACTTTGCTTCCTTTGCTCCTGTTAACAAACGTTGGTTTTCACGAGACTCACTGGTGCATACGCAGCGCTGAACTCATACGTCATCCGCCCGGAGCTGTTTCTGTGTGGGACTGTTGGCGCAAGCTAGATTAAAGTGATTATTACGTTTTGAATATGGATATTTTTCTTACAAAAACACATCGATTCGCTACAGGAGGCCTTTAATCACCCCCCGGAGCCGTGTGAGACAATTTGTTTTTATGGATGGATGCTTTTTATTTAACTTCTTTTGGACTGATGCATGCAACACCCGCTGAGTGGCATGAAACAGCTTGAAAGATCAAAGACAATTTTTTATATAACTCCGACTGGATTCGTCTGAAAGAAGAAAGTCATATACACCTAGGATGACTTGAGGGTGAGTAATTTATGGGCTAATTTTCATTTTTGGGTGAACTAGACCTTTAAGCCGAACTTGAATAGCCAGTTAAAATTGTGGATCAGAAGGAACTAGTTGTTAAAGCGTAATTTTGTGAATCATATGCGATCTAAAATTGTAGAAGGGTATTATGTAAAAACGATTTTAAGACTTTTCTAAGAATTTTATTTATAGTTTTGTAAGAAGAGTGTTGGCAAATGAGGTATGATCAGTCTTAAATATATATAAAAAAAATTAAAAAATTTAAAAAATATATATATATTTATTAATATACGTATAGGCCTATATTTTTTTTAACAGTCTCTTATGCTAAGGCATTTATGCATTTATTTGATCAAAATTACAGTAAAAACAGTATAGTATTGTGAAATATTATTATAATTTAAAATAACTATTTTCTATTTGATATATATTAAAATGTAATTTATTCCTTTGATGCAAAGCTGAATTTTCATCATCATTACTCCAGTCTGCAGCGTCACAAGATTCTTCAGAAATCATTCTAATATGCTGATTTGCTGCTCAAGAAACATTTCTTATTATTATCTTATTATTATTTCTTCTTATTCTGTTGAAAACAGTTGTGCTGCTTCATATTTTTGTGAAAACCATCATACATTTTTTTTTAAGAAATCTTTTTAGTAACATAAATATCTTTACTGTCATTTTAGATCAATTTAATGTATCCTTGCTAAATAAAAGTAATAATTATATTAAATATGTATAATATATTAATATATACAGTGGGTACGGAAAGTATTCAGACCCCCTTACATTTTTCACTCTTTGTTATATTGCAGCCATTTGCTAAAATCATTTAAGTTAATTTTTTTCCTCATTAATGAGGAAAAAAATGAACTTAAATGATTTTAGCAAATGGCTGCAATATAACAAAGAGTGAAGAATTTAAGGGGGTCTGAATACTTTCCGTACCCACTGTATGTATGCCATCTATAATTGCATGTAAAGCTATATTTTGACCCAACTGTTTCCACATGCTGTGCTTTTATGCTGTATTCGCAGCGCTGGACTCCACAAGAATCCCTGCTGAAAAGTCATGCTTGAATTTCCATACTGGTTCGTGCTGGTTTATGTTGCCGGTCTAGCAGTGTCATTAAAGTTGCATTTGCATAACATGGCAAGAGCAGCACAGCTCCTTTAGACTCATGTTTACATGATACTTGCATTGAACTTCTTTCAAAAATGTCTTTGATGTGTGAAATGTTATGAGCCGTTGAAGAAGGAGAAAAGTAACTGGCATGTGATGCAGTTAAACGTCCTTTAAATTGGAATGAGGACCCAAAGTCAAGCTATAACGTCACAGCTTCCTCCTTTTTAATAAGAGACACTTTGCAGGGTCTGTTGACCCATTGAGGAGATGAGTATCGACTGGTCTTGAGCGGATGAGCTGTTTGGCTACAGGCAATGGACTGATGTCCTTATCTTTCAAACGGCATTGATTTCCGTCGCTGCTCTGATTCTCTTTGCACACTGTGAGATCTGCCCCACACACATTGTGCTTTGTGTTTGTTTGGAGATGTGCAGTTGGAAATGGGTCAGCTCAGATGAGGGACGTTTAAGGAACATCCTATGAAGGAACTAGGAGTTGAATAAGGTTTGTTTCGAAGGTTAGGCCTTATTGGATTGGGTATTTGTCATTTTGCACATCTCAGTGAGTTCTGAGAAACTTGTTTTGTAAATATTAAACAGACTTGCGTGAATGTAATTGTAAAATTAATACTATAGCATAGTTTTACATTGAAAACTTGAACTGAACTAAAATAACAGCCATTCTTAGAACATTTTTTACAACAACTTTATATATTGCTCAACCTGCTATGGAACATAAAGGGATAGTTCACCCAAACATGACTCTTATGTCATACTGGTAAAAAAAATGTATAGCCTGAATGCACTGTAAGTCGCTTTGGATAAAAGCATCTGCTAAATGCATAAATTATTATTCAATTATTATTATTATGTTTTTCGGATCTTGTACTACTGTAATACTATAATACTTTTTGTTGTTCTTCTTCTAAACATGGTACCATGGTGTTTTGGACATATACCATGGCAAATATAATGTAAATGAATATAATTGTATATATATATAAAAAAAAATTAATATATATAATTTCTTACCATGGTATATATCAAAGTACCATGATATTGCCATTTGATACCATCTCTCAGATGTCACATTGTACTTCCTTCCTTGTGTTTATGAAGGATGTCCTGTATCATATTTATTGTTTAATGCGTCTTTATGTGTCTTTATGCATGCTGATGTTGATACCATGTGTCAAAGAGTGCAAGACAAGATGTTTTGTTTCTGTCAGGCAGGGGCCTCATAAAAGGGAACATAAGTGAGATATGCATTACAGTTGGTTAATGTGAGAACATCCTGGTATAGTTTAGTTTCTCATCATGTAGAATATTTTTTAAAAATTCCATAACACGTGAAAGTTTTGTTTTTTGTTTTCAAAATGTTCCCCCCCCTCCTGAACTGAACTTTACAATTTTATTCCGGTCTATATTCTGAAGAGATTTGTTCATGTATAATTTATTTAATTTATAGAACATTTTATACCTAAAAAGGTGGGGAAAAAAGAATTTTCTTCTGGCTGTTGAAAGTATTTTTTATGATAAAAAAGAGATATCCAAAATATATCAAGATACAAGATATCCTCTGTAAAAACCTGCATCTCTAATGCCACTAAAAAGTAACAAGACTTTTGAAGCTGGCTTTATCCAGTGTTTAGATTTCTGTTCTGGAAAAGTATGCAAATGAGTGCATATTTATTTAGAAAATACCTAATTTGCATATTTAATCATAACATTACAGAAGACTTGTAATACAAAACATTTGTCTTAATGTACTGTTATTAATCAAGTGTGTGTGTGTGTGTGTGTGTGTGTGTGTGTGTGTATATTAATCATATTCACCTGTGGTTTCTTGCCTTAAGAACATTTTATTCCTCATTGCTTTTAAAACTTGTATTACTGTACAGGCATTACTGTACTCAGGCTGTGAAATCCAGGTCACTTTGACAGTGTACTTATTATCAGTCGGTCTATTCCCACAGGTGCCAGACCCAACACATCATTTATAACAGCACTTTAACACCTCCACAGATTAACCTCTCATCTCATTTAAACAGCCTTATTAATTAACTTCTCAAGCTGCTCCTCCAAACTTCTCTTGTCTGAAGTCTGTGCATTGGTTTGATTGGAACACTTCATTTCTACAAAACCACTTGGCCAGGTTTCTGTGGCCGCAGCATTCGAGCAGTTTTCTAAATGCACGCGCGGCTCGGCCGAATGCCAGGAAGCGTCTGTAGTGGCTTTAAGTGTCTGCTTCTCATTAACGGGCTGTCCTGTGCCTCGTCTCATCTGCCTGCATTTACACCAGGGTTACGGCTGCCCGCTGCCCTGCATTTGCATGGACAATGACCTGCTTTGGAGTGCTTTCTTCTTAATTTATATGAAATCTTCAGTCATATCCTGGGGATAACAGCAAGAATTGTTATTATAGGCTACCTAGCTTGCTTTGTTTTCATAGAGCTATTTAAACACTCAGAATTAAGAAAAATGAAAACATTTTGAAATTCATTCAAAGTGTAATATTACCAACAATATAATACAAGCCAGTTAACCCATTCATTGACTATAATACATAATTTTGTTTTCCAAATTCTGAATATATATATATATATATTATTATTTTTTCTTTCTCAAAAGGGTTAGTAGAATTCTCTTTTGCTCACCAAGGCTGTATTTGATCTATTTTAAATTGTAATAATATTTCACATTATTACAGTATATTTAATCAAATGTACCGTAATATTGTGAAATATAATTACAATTTAAAATAGTTGTTTTCTATTTGAATATATTTTAAAATGTAATTTATTCCTGTGATTCAAAGCTGAATTTTCAGCATCATTACTCCAGTCTTCAGTGTCACATGATCCTTCAGAAATCATTCTAATATGCTGATTTGCTGCTCAAGAAACATTTCTTAGTATTATCAATGCTACATTTATTGCAGGATTCCTTTATAAATAAGACATTCAAATGATTAGCATTTATTTGAAACCGAAATCTTTTGTCATTATTGTCATATTTAATCAATTTAATGCATCCTTTCTGAATAAAAGTATTCATTTCTTTAGAATGGAAGGGTATAAAACCTGTTCATAATACCATAGTACTTTATTGTGTATCATCATGGAACTATTTTAATATATTCATATACAACTGTATTTATACGGAACTGTAAGTTACTATAAATAGTACCATGTTATCATATGGGCTGTGATTGTCCAGGGTTTCCCAGGTATATTTGGGTTTTTAAATATATATTTTGTGGTAATATGTCATTCCAAACCTGTGTGTCTTTTTTCTGTTGAGCACAAATGAAGGTATTTTGACATTTTTTATAAATGGGGTCCAAAACATCACTGGAAGGCAAAACACAGAGGCATTTTTCAAAAATATCTTTATGTTCCACAGAAGAAAGAAAGTCATGTAGGTTTGAAACAACATGAGGGTAAATAAATAATGACAGACGCATTCTTGGGTGAACAATTTTTTGTCCCAGCTCAGTCCCAGCTGTGTGTCAGATGGAGCATCTGGCCTTGCTTAATTTCTGTTAATAGGCTTCATACACAGCTAGTGGTCTGAAATATGAATGACATTTGATTGTTAACAGCTGTTGGACACATGCTCTCTCCTGGGCAGCAGTCTGATTTCAGATCAGTATGTTTCACAGCTTTGATATTGGGTGCATGAAGCTGATCCTGGACTAGAGTTTAAACTTTAAATTAACTTCCTGGTTCCAGATATAGAAGGTTGGTTAATGGTATATGGGGGAACATTCACATGGACCCTCATTAACACAACATAAGCACATTTAGACTCATTAAACAGACATTTGTCGGCCACCTGAACTTGTAGTATTTTGAAGGGGCATCAGTGGCAGTTTAACATGCAATTTTGATGAAAAAAGTAAGAATTGTGCAATATTAACTCAGGTGTGCAATTAAAAATCAGAATTACCCATTACATTTTTTTTATTCTGTGGCGTAAAAGGGCTTCCATGCATTTTGCTTCATGAGAAAGGTAAAAAAAAAAAAACAAGCATGTAAGTAAAAATGGTTTCATTCCTTGCAATATGATCAAGTTTGTCAATGTTTTGTCTTATTGTCAGATCTGTCAGAGAAGAAGAGTGACCTGCGTGTGTGTGACGCCACCACGTGCCGTTACAATGGCATCTGCCAAAACAACGGTGGTGACATCAAATGCGTATGCCAGTTTGAGGTACACATTTTACTTTGTAACGCTGTTCATTGTTTTTATGAAACAAAACCTTTCGAAAATTTGCTGAAACTACGCTCTCTCAGGCCATCCGAGATGTAGATGAGTTTGTTTCTTCATCAGAACAGATTTGGAGAAATGTAGCATTACATCTCTTATTGACCAATGGATGCTCTGCAGTGAATGGGTGCCGTCAGAATGAGAGTCCAAACAGCTGAGAAAAACATCACAATAATCCACACCACTCCAGTCCATCAGTTAACATATTGTGAAGTGAAAAGCTGCATGCTTGAAAGAAAGAAATTGATCAATTTGATGTTTTTAGCTTCAAACCATTGCTTCTTGCTAAAATACGAGTCCTCTATCCATAATATAGTTTTTACCAGTGAAAAAGTTGTCTTATCTGAATCAGGAGAGAAATATGCACAGAATACAAGCACCATTTATAAGTAAAAACAGTCCGAAACAAATTTGCTGGTGGATTATGTTGTGAGCGGAAAACAGAGGATGGATTTTTTTTTTCCTACTGATTATGCACTTTTATTTTCACCAGATGTGATGTTTTAAAGTTAAAAACAAATTAATGATGGATTTGTTTCTTACAAACATGCAGCTTTTCACTTCACAAGACATTAATTGATGGACTGGAGTGGTGTGGATTATTGTGATGTTTTTATCAGCTGTTTGGACTCTCATTCTGACGGCACCCATTCACTGCAGAGGATCCATTGGTGAGCAAGTGATGTAATGCTAGATTTCTCCAACTCTGATGAAGAAACAAACTCACCTACATCTTGGATGGCCTGCGGATGAGTACATTCTCAGCAAATGTTCATTTTTAGGTGAACTATTCCTTTAGTTCACAGCATATCATGAACTTATTGTTGGTTTGATGGCTTCTGTCCACTCTTGATCCGCTAAGAAAAAATCTTGAACATGGTGAATTTTCTGTGATTGTGCTTCAGGAAATCACTCAAATTATAATACCGAATCAATGCTTTAGCATTTACCTGCATGAATTTTTCCCCTCGTTGATCAATGAGCCATCTCAAACATATTAATGTGAAAAATCAGAAGTGGCTGAACTCAATAGTGCATTCGAAACCACCAATTTTCTCGCTGTATCTGAGAAGCCTCTCACATGTATTGTGTTTGACGCAGTGCTCTAAGAACTACGTCCCTGTGTGTGGTACAAACGGAGATACCTATCAGAACGAGTGCTATCTGAAACAAGCAGCCTGTACCCAGCAGAGACCCATCTTTCTGGCCTCTGAGGGCTCCTGCTATCCTGGTGAGTCCAGACCATCTCCTTCACTTCCTGAAATGAAAACCTAACATCTTCTGCCTAAGTTCATGTTACACTGACTGTGCTCATTTTATTAGAAAAAGTCTTAAAGGGGTCATATGATGCTTTTTTAAAGATCATTATTTTGTGTATTTGGTGTAACAGAATATGTTGACATGCTTTAATGTTCAAAAAACACATTATTTTTCAAATACTGTATATTATTGTAGGTCCTCTATGCCCCGCCTCTCTCAAACGCTTCGTTTTCTACAAAGTCCCTCCTTCCGACAAGTGC